GCTTCTTCTTTCTTTCTCAGAAGATGATGTGTAATGTCCTTGCCATGTAGTATTCTCAACGTTCGTTCTGAGACCACTCCCTTTGCGAAGGCCCATAGTGCTGCCACAAAATCACTGTATATAATTAAATGCTATTCATCTTGAGTGCTAAGGCGATGGCCACCTGTTCGGCAATGATTGGGTCTTTCGTACTGACCTTCACTGAGTTGGCGACATGGCCAGCTACATTGACCACCATGGCCACAAAAGCTTTGCTTTTGGCATAAGAAGCCATGTGAACAAAGATGACCCCTCGTTCCTCGTTTGAGACTTGACGAAGTATAACTCTGGCTCTCACCAGTCTTCTTCCAATGTTGTGTTCTGGATGCATGTTTCTTGATAAAGGAGATACCGTGATATTTTACCCTATGTTATCCGGGATATTATTGTACATGAGTCTAATCATCATTAGGTGCTGGCCCAGCTCGTGCAGAATCAACGTACTAATGAAACAGCAATTGCGAGTTCTCATCATTCATATCTAGAACAATATACGAAAGCATTGCAAAACCGCGTGGCATGGCCACTCTGCAAATAACAGACAGGCGTCAACCAGCAAAAGCTGTGCGTTCATTCGAAGCACGCTGATTTAAAGGAAACGGGGTGGGAGAGAAGGAAGAGAGAAAAATACGAGGCATGCGCAGCATTCGACGGCCCATCAGCAGCCACGGTGGCTTGGAAGTTGCAGCATCTCTCTTTTCTTAGAATTCAGAACGCTCCGACGGTTTCCTCTCATGAGTAGAACGACGTAGTTGGAACGACTTAGTGATCATGATAGACGCCGTAGTGGAGGGCTTCAGAAATTTCGACCACCTCGGTTTCTCTAAAGTGCACCCAAATCTGATGGCGTATGGCATGCATTTTTAGGCGATAAACAGACGTCGCTGCTGTTCTTTGAGTGCTGACGTTACTTCAGACCACAAGCTACTTTCAAACGCTTTTCTACTGAGTGTTTCAAATCGGCATTATTCGCAAGTATTTTCAATTTACAACGACACGTCAAGCCGACTGCACCGCACAACGTTGTTTATCTTGATGCATGGAAATGTGAGTATTTTTGGTTATTTTTAGAGGCATACTACACGTCCTCTTTGTAGTTCGAATCGGTGGATAATTGGCAATGCGAACGAACGTACAGGCTCCACTGAGCGCCGACAAATACCCCTTTCATTGCACACACAAGACGCGAAACGTCAGGTGATCTACTTCGTCATGTAGATTCACCGATGAATACGGCACGCCTAAAGGAAAATTCAAGCGTTGTAGTTTCTGTGAAGTGAATTCAAATCATATTGATGTGACAAATATGAAATCCAAGTTTCTGTGCCTTCAGCTTCAGATGAAGCTCAACAATAACACGTCCACTCTCTTCAGTATACACTGCTCTTTTACTCATTTGTGGTTTTAAATCAAGTCATATCTGTTTCGAAAACACAATTGGTTGATCCACTTCGCGGAGGCACTGAGCGTCTGCATCGACAACGCACATTTCCAGGGCTTTCCAGGTAAGATAGCTCCGCGTCTTTTTAGCGAGGCGGACATCTGGAGCCTCACACTCGTGGAACTGAGCATCTGTTCAGGAAGATTGTTTAGCCACAGTGAGACGAAAATGCTCATTCGCAGGCTCCTCACCTCCATATTCCACAAGAAAGCATAGATATGTCACTTTTCAGTACAGTCATGCTAACTTCGAATATTCATGCTACCTTTTATTTACTATCATCACCTTTGCTTTACTCTCATCGTGCCCTGAATCCACGTTCGGTTTCTTTATTCATGCCCTGTGTCGGTCGTTTATTTGGTTACGCCAAGGAATGCAACGCGAAACACAGAGACGTACTAAGAAAAGTTGTCTGAAAGTGCTGTCAAACAGTTTCGCGTTAGAGCCAAATGCGACATAGTGTTCTAAAAAGTTCATCACGTGCGTAAACGTGTGTACATGCTGGTGGCATGGAAATGTCACAAGGATCAAATCAAGCTAAGCCTGCTTCGAGCCATGTATTTATTTAGTTTCACTGAAAATGACATCCTTAACATGCACGATGTATAATAACGCCGCATTGCCATATGCGCACACATAGTGGTGGAGCACATAAAAACATTGCTACGTCCATCACTTGAGAGAAATAGAATGTTTTGTTATTAACAGATAAGAAAAATGGCGATACAGATATGTAGCCTTACACTCTGACGCTAAACTTAGTGGTGGCCTGTGGCCTTCAGACGAGTGTATGTTAGACCTTGGATGCGACTTCACGGAGAGCCCTTTCTGAGCGTCTGAGATGCAGGAAGAATGAAGAATTTGGAATTAAGGTGAATGAGTGGTTCGTTGTGATGTGGCATAAAGTGTAGGTTTGATGTTAAATCATGTCCAATGGTCAGTATAACCTGTCGTATACAATATATGAATGTCCTTCACTTCTGAGAACATAAGCATCTGCACCTGTCTAAATGTGACCATCTGCCCCATTTAGCACATTGCGTGATTTTATGGTGTAGACGAGGTTAGCCTCGGCTGCACCGTCAATGGTTAACGTACTCGGCTGCTTACCTGAAGGTCATAGGTTCCCTGGCAGCCGCGATGGCTGCTCTTTGGTGGAGGAAAAACGACTCAGGCCCGTGTCAGTGCACGGGCCTCTCCGCCGCCTTCATCTACGGCATCTCTTATAATGATATCGCGGTTTTAGGACGTTAAACTCAAGGTATTAAAAATGAGTGCTTCGCCGAAATAGTAACTCTGAACCTAAAATTTCAAGGGCTTTTGATATACTGAGCTTCTCCACCTATTCAACGGAATCAAAGTTGCACGAACTTGCACTTTTGAACGTGGCTGCCTTATAATGCCACCTATGAGAGGAAACTTTCAATTTGTGGTTTGCCTTCTAGTGCGTCTTTCAAGTTACTGAATAATTGTGGGTAATAAACGAATAAAAAACATTTAGCTCTTTTTTGCCACTAACACATGAATTAAGGCCCTCAAGCTGCGATGAATGACATAGTTCTAACCACGTCCTTGTAAGATATGAATATCTCTGAACGGTAATGTACACATGGTACAAAACATTACTAGAAAGTGAGCGCATTTTAAGAAGTCTTCTCTGAATATAGCGATTATAGAACGAAAGCCATCTGCAGAACACAAATAGTCGACATAATGTTGTGGACTGGCAAAGAAGTTATACTTTTTGAAAATTCGATGTCAGTCTGGCGTTTTGAACTCGAAGCATTTCTTAGTGAACTTCTGTGATTTGGAGCGTATCTATCTATGTAGCCGCTTAGGTTTGGGTGCTCTCGTGGTCACCCCCTTAAGTTGGCGTGAACCAAAATCAGCATGAAAGGGGAAGATGGTTTAATGAATATGACGTGCTGGTCAAGATATGAAAAATCTAACACTCCCGTCACGTATGTCGTCAAACACGTCTTGCCACGCAGTGGCACATACCCACGGGTGGGTATTTGCTGCTGGTATGCGGGTATGTACCACAGGTGATTGACACCTAGTATTTGCCTAGGAACAACGAAAACACAGATGGATAATTTTAACGCGCGAGCGTTAAGAAATAACCGACATCAGTAGCATCGACTCGACGAAATGTCCGGGTCCCAGCTGGAATTCTGCATGGCAATGAAGCATTTTAACACAGACCTACGCCGGGTCTCGGGACTACTTCTCCAATAGGCACTAATCTTCGTGAAACGTCAATAGTTGTTATTGCACTGCTGACTTCCCAATTTTATAAACATTACATATGTAATCCTTTTACACAGCCGTCACGCGGGTTTAACGTCACTTTGGGTTAGTTGCCGTGCGCTGTAGTCGATTTATGTAGACCATCATCCTCATGAGCATGAGCGCTTCGTGTCAACTGCTGGTGTTTCTAATACGCATGTTCTAGTTGGCATCATTGCGCAAGTTCTAACAGGTAGTTATATAAACACATGCAACTCAACATATGTCTGCGTGTGCAAAAATTGTAAAAATATTTAGCGCAATTTCATGGCGCGTCGCTCAATAAGAAAATTGCTACATGGTCAGCTTCCCTCCACATGCTTCGCATAACGTCGATTCCCAGGTACATGTGATCTGCCGAATTTCTTATTGTTTTTTTTTGTCAACGCGTGATGCTCATTTTCATGTGGCCGTTCCATATACCACGCAAAACTAGAAATATAACAAACGCTTTGCCGGTACCACCCTAAACAAGTTATTTGGTCGGCCGCTACCGGCTATACAAAATTTTACTTACGTGCCTTGTTGAAAACTGTTTTGAGAACTTTCGCGCGGGTTTTTCAACATAACCATCCAATATAATCAAGTTTAGGTGTCTCAAAATGATCTCAGCGAGGAGCAGTTATGCATGTTTGTTCAGCAAGGGCTTATACAGTGAAGGTAGAAGCAGAGGAGGGAGGGTAGGGGGCGCCGTAGTTTTCAATAACATGTCACCTACGACTGTCTTTTTAAGGAACACATTTCCTGATCTCCGATATAGATTATTCCAGAAATGTATATGGCGTCAGTATTTTCGAAACGCAACACTTGTGATAGCAAGATGGACTGAACTTTGTGTGCTGGTTTTATGTATATAATATTGTTTCCCATGATTGTGCTTGAAGACGGCGCAACCTCATAGGACTGCTCACCAAAACGCTTTAGAATAGTCACGTATGCGTAGCATACTCTTTAAAAAATGTTTGAGTTGCAACAGCCTGTTAAATGAGGTGAGTGCTTGCGCAAACTTATACAATTTTTATTCCCTGGGAAGCCACAAGCCCCCCCTGAAATATCCACCGACTGCATGCGACCTGAGTGCTGCATCTTTGACCCTTGCTGTCTATCGGTAGCTGCTTTTATTTAAGCGCAATAGCGCATTCATACATACGATTAACACTTTGTCTACATCATGTTTCGAAACTTGCTTAGATAAAAAATATTTGTTTTTGTTTATCTGCGATACATTTAGGTGTGACCCGACGATTCCCACAAACAGCGCCTATGGCAACTGCAAATATGTCTCCCTTGGTGGACCTTTTCCTGATTGTTGCCGGTATACTCGGATATGCTAGTGCATCGAAATTGATGGAATTGTGCACCTATATATGAGTGAAAACCCGATAATCCTTTATTTTGTTTTTATTGGTGAATAAAAATCCAATATGAGAAACACGACTGCATTGCGGTTTCCTGGTTATTTTTTTATCAGAGCCAGCATTATAAAAGCTGATTTTTCAGATCCTCCCACATTTCTCTATATTTTGTTAAGATGTCCAGAAAGCAAATTTTTGAGGACTTCAGCAGTTTTGCAGCCTCATGTTGCTTCACAATTGAAACGTTATCCGCGTGTTTGTCCATTCGTCTGCAAAAAAGGTGGTGGCTGGACAGTAAACCTTGGAATGTTTCCGTCAAATGGGCAAAATATTAGTTGCATAACAGTAGGGTTGTATCAGCCTGAAATAGTTCATATTGTAAAGAAACTGGCTTGTCGTGTTGACACAACGGTGATATTTTTTTAAATACTGCATAAGGTGTGTCACTCACAGACCCTTGTCATAGGCTCGCTGTCGATTGGTCTCAAAACTATTGTATCACTTCTTAGGCTCGTAAGCATGAAGTACAAAATGAACTTAGGCTATCGTGTGGAACTAAACTTACAGATGTGACAGGAAGATGTCTCACTTATTTCTTACTAGAGCACATACCAATAATACGTAAAAACGATAATCACCGTCATTTCTCAACGTATCTGTCGCAATATTGAGAGATGTGCTAGTGCGTGATCAATGAACCTAGTAATTAAGGAGATGGTATGTCTGAATGACAAATGATTCTGAAAGATGTATTAACACATATATATTAAAGAGCCATTCAGCCACTGCCCCTTAGGCGTCGCCGATAGGTCCTTACTGCTACCACTATCACCATTTCCGCAACGATAATTGTTTACGCTAGCTTGCGTGCGCGTGGTAGGGAAACAAGCCGGTGACTTCTAGCGGCGACAAGTTGTCCGCCCAGCACCACAAGTCACCCAAAGTAGCTCATGATTGAGCAACTCGAAACATTTCCTAGAAGACACAGAAGAGCTAAGAAACATTCTTCTTCAACTCCTCGACAGAAAAAACCACACCTGCGCTGTTTTACAGACAGTCAATGGTATTAAGTTTGAAGTTTTCGAATCACGCGCTGTCATGCTCTGGCTTGGAATCCAATGGACATTTACTGGATTTTCTTCATTGTAGACGTCAAACGCACATTCATCCCACCAGATTCCTAACATCGTTATAGGGCGTTGTTGTAGGCAGTAAACATCATCAATTCATTGACTGCCATTACCCACCTGCAATTTACCAGCGCCCTTACTGTAGAGGTATCCACAATTGAGCCTTTAGTATTAGGCTTCCACTGCAGTCTGGCGCCCCTGTTATTTGCGGCGTACATGCCCATATGTGTCCGTGCCGAATAAATAGTTTGGTTACACTTTCGTCAGAGCAAGCAGCGCGTACGCGTTGGTCTCTGTGGTACTAACAAAGGCAATAGCGTCAGAAGAGGGTTTGACATCGCGTCATAGGTAGTCCGGAGCAACAAAATAACGCCCCTTACCTTCCCTAAGCTTCATCACAATCGAATGTTAGCACGATGTTCTCCGAGATCGTTGAGACGTCGAAACTGTATTGCGTGAAATTCAACCACCGGTACCGTTCGACTTCGCGAACCTGGCATCATAGTCGACTTGGCTCAGCCGCTAAAAGCGTCAGTACGCTCGCTACTGGATTATATAGACCTGGGGGTACGTTCGGTCATTGAAACGCTCTCTCTCCACGCCCAATCGCTCACCTCGTACCAAGTTGGTGCCACCTGCTTCAATAAACAGTTCACGCTCTCGGCCAACGAGCTCTATATTGCTGATGGTGGTGGACGGGCGGCTACATGAAGGAGATATGGATGAGAAGAAACAAGTTACTGGGCGCGAGCTGTACAATAAACATGTCATTCTTGGTTTAAGATTTGGGTTATAATTACGCGGCAGTCTGTCTAATGCCTAAATCCCCCGTTGATCGCCCTTCCATGACTTCTTGCTAAGACGGCATCAGCCGAGTGGCTGGGCAATAACCACGTCTTCGTCAAGGCCAGCACCACGTGAAATATTACGCTTCTGACAAACGAGCTGCAGGCCTGCGTTCCCGTTGCTGTTCAAGTTGCCTTTCACGTTGCCTATAGCTGATGCAAATGAACGTCGAGCTCGTCAGCGCGAGCAAAGAAATCTTCAATGCATCTGACAACGACGCTTACGAGGAAAAGTTTGAGGCCGCAGAAGATTATGACAAAAAGGTGTCACATGCCGTGTCCCGAGCGGGGCTCTTTCTTCGAAAACATGGCAACCAAACGATGGCGCTAAGCATTTCAAGTTTAGAGGCTGCATCACTGAACGCCGACATCCGTAGATCCAGAACCTGCACTCGCACTCAAAGACAAAATTACTCGAAAATGGAGTAATGCAGCCGAATGGGGGCGCGCGATGAATGGATAGACTGTTGAGGAGCAACCACAGAGGGAAGCGTGGCGCGCGAAACCACGGGATGAACCGTCCAGGCATTGCAGGCAGCGCAAAAATCGTTGCCAAGGTGACCAGGCCTCCCTCTCCTCTTCTGCTGGCTCAGTCTTTCCGGTATTTCGCCGGCGAGGGTTCGCGTAGCGTCGCGCTCGGAGTGCTCGACCACGGCCGCCTGGATTCGGCGATCTAAGAATTACGACGTGGTGTTTGTGTGTACGCTTGAATTAGCGTGGGCTGCTGCTTTTGCGCTTTGCTGTACCCATAAAGTCTGGAGCAAGTCTCGACCCGTCACCACGCTGCGCTGTATATCTCTGACTTCAGGATAGTCACTACCAACACACGACAGCAACAGTTGGGAAGGCCTATATGGTGGCCGAGAAAACAACAGGCCTATCGGATATATACTTCAGTCCGACTCAGGGCAGAAAACAGCGCTGGATTCTAAGGCAAGTAGGTTATCATTCTTTATTCTACTCTGCTTGTCGCGTGTGTGATACGGATTGCGCTTGCTGGCAACGGGCCCGGTCGTGTTGTATATCGCACGCACGAAATGCACCGCGAAGGTGAGCTTCGGCGCTTGCAGTTCACCTGTGCTTTGCCAGCACCTGAAAATTGGCCGCCATTGCCGTCGGCCTCCCGTAAGCTCGCTCGTCGAGTGCTCGCCTCTTTTCACTGCCGCGATGAGCTCCGGGCTGCCGATATTGGGCTGAGACCTCATGGCTGTGTTGGGAGTCGTCGAAAACACGTTGCGGGTTCTCGTAAAGAGCTTAGTCGTAGTATGTCGCGTGCTCTAAGTGCACCAGAACGGGCTGGCGGGGCTTTCGCTATAGCGTCGGAACTCACTGAAAATTGGTCGCCATTACAGTTGGCTTTCCCGTCAGTCGACCGCAAGTGATCGCAAGCAGCTCGGCGCCGTCCGTTGGCCGCGGCGGCGGACTCGCATTTGTGCGCTGCACTCGCAATTGCGCGCTGCAGTTTGTGGAAAAGAGCCGCATTACCGTCGATTTCTTCGGCGCTAGCTCCAAACCAGCTCGGTGCTGTTCGTGGCGGCGGCCAAGCGTACGTTCGCTCTCCTATTCGATTTTATCTGGCGGCAGACACTCCGCGTGCAGCGCCGTGTTTGGTCTCACGTTCGCTTGCTCGAGCTAAACGACGTCACTCGCTTCGGACTCGCCGACTTGTTAGCGGCATGGTGGTTCGCGGAGTTGTGGCTGCGGCCAACGCTCCTAAGCTGTTGCGCTACGGGGATCGAAATGAGTCTTTGACGATGTGTGACATCACGGTGAAATTATTAGCATGCCATATCTCATGTACGTTTTCATTTCACCTTGCACGCATTTGTCATATGCATTTGTATTCATCCTCTGGCACGTGTGACTGACTATTTTACATACTAATTGTGCAGCCGTGGGCACACACCGTGCTGAAGACTGTGTCGCTGGCGTCTGCGATGCCTGTTATTCATCTCTTTCGTCAGAGCAGATTCAGAAGGACTTTGCGAGAAGTGAAGGTAAAGATGTTTGTGTGTCATATTTTAATGCTTGTTTTTATATTACCGTGCACGTACTTGTCATATACGTGCATCTTCATTTTCTGTCACGTGTGTCTAACTATTTTTACTGTATAATTGTACGTGCAGCCGTGGGAACACAACAGGCAGAAGGCTGCATGCGCTGGCGTTTGCGATGCCTGTCATCCATCGCTTCCGTTGGAGGAGCTCCACAAGCAGTGAACAAGATGTGACAACGAGACTGGACTTGTACACTTCACCATGAATTCACTTAAAAGAATGGAGAAACTTCATGTGTAGGTAGATAAATCAAAGATTTCAATGTCTCCCTTTTGTCTTTCATTGTTGCCGTGACTGCGAAAGCAGTTAAACATAGGCGGATAACTACTTTTTCGCGTGTTTTTTCCTGCGCAATTTTTTGCTCACTGCGCAGAAAAACAGGCGAAAAAAGTATTAGGCCTGGCGGAAAATAAACGAAAAACAACGCGCGAACCGGGGACAAAATGTCCATCCGCTTGGAGTATTTGAGTGGATCAACCGTTCATCCGGCAAGGTGCAACTGTAAGGACTAATGCTTGCCCAGTAAGGTGTAAATGTGGGGATTAACAGTTGCTCTTTGAGGTGCAAATGTGAGGACTAAATGTTAGTCCTCTGAGATGAATTGTCGGATTAACGGTTACTCACTAAGGTGTAAATGTGAGGACTAAATGTTAGTTTCCTGAGTTCATCTGTGTGGACTAACTGTTAGACCCGGTGCATTTAGTCCTTAAAGGTATCAATGGTTATGGCAGCTACATTAGTCCCCAAAAGGACGAACCAAACACCCTTTTAACACCCTTTTGCCTTAGAGTCTGACCACAAACAAGGTTAGTTAGTCTTCTGTTCCACTGTCAGATGAGATATCCAGTCAAGGAACCATGCCGCGTCAATGCACAGTGGTCCTGCCAAAGCTACAGATCCCTACGTTTTTCGACGCACTTCATGATTTTCAGTCATTCTGGGACCACCTCATATCCAGGATACAGCTGAACCAAGAAGTTCAAATACCTCATATTTAAGCGGCGCAACCAAGAGAGACCACGAACGCATTCGGTTGACAGAAAGAAATTT